GTTATACTAATAAATAAATAAATATAATAATAAATATAAAAACTGGTGATGTCTAAAACTAAAATAATAATAAGAAAAGTAAAAACTGGTTCCACGTGTCATCTCATCACGTTACTCTCCACTTTCTCCTCTCTTACTCTTTCTTCCCTTTAAAGAAGAAATAGATATGTGTAAGTTTGATTGAGGACTATATACTATAGATTAATGATGTCGTCTTCGAGATGCACTTATACTTTAAATTTGTCTTTGTTTTAATTATCCGTCTGGATTTTTTTTAGTGTAATATATGGGGTGGAAAATCGACGTTACAACCTCTTAATTAGAGATATATATCAATTACCGCAAAGTTATGTTCATTTTTACAGGCATATTACATATCATGTTTCACAATTATTCATTTTTTAAATATTTACGAATATAAATTTTCATTATTTAAATAAATTATCTTTTTTTCAAATTACCCTTTGCAGTCATTCTATTAAAGTTATTATTATACTTTAAAATGTATTCCAAAGTAAATATTTACATTAATTATTAAAGGATAATATTTTAATAAATAATTAAACAAATATAGTAACTATTGAATACACCTATTCTTGCTTAATGTTCCAATAATTTTTCTTTCAATTTTTTGATGTATATTATTTTCTTAGAATTTAAGTTTATGGTTTTATTTTTTTATTATTAAAAAATTGTCTTTGGTCAAGTATTCAAGATTTAGAGTTTAGGGTTGGATAGGTCTATAATTTTTACATGGATTTATAAATATTAAAAATTTTAGACATGTACGTAATTAAATGCTTAAAAAAGTCTAAGTGTGTTACCTAAAATTTATTTGTCCTTTTTGGTGGCTCCCCTTTGGACCATTATTTTACTATATTTAATTTATTTTATATGCTTTTAGACTATTTTTTTAGTTTTTCAATTTTCTTATTTTTGTATATGTTGGAAAAACCACAAACAATAATGAAATTGCTAACATGAGCATGATACATCTACTCTTTCCTTTAAGATCGGAGATTCACTCTCATACTTCCAATTTTTGTTGTACTAAAAAAAATAATGAAATTAACTTTAAAAAAAGAACTAGTGTTACCCTACTAGGTTGTTGGTTGACGTTTCAATTTAATTTAACCAAATATATTTCCAAGTTAAAATTGCTCCAATATCTAAGAATAGGGTGAAAACGATTTTTTTCCTTCTCAGTTATTATTTATCATTTTTTCTATACTAAAAGAAACTAAAGTCTCCGTCTCTTAACATTCCTGTTTCTGGTTTATATTTCTTGATGGAACAAGAAAATAGAAACTTGTTTTTGATTGTTCATAAAATTTCTATACCATTGTAAGAATGTTCCAAAAAAAGAGAAACAATAAATAAAGTTAGTTGTAAAATACTCAGGGCCGTTTGATAACCATTTTTTTTGTTTTGTTTTTTTTAAAACAGGGTTGTTTGATAAGCAATTCAATTTTCTGTTTTTTGTTTTCAAAAACCATTTTGAAATTCTATGTAAATTTCAAAAACAAAAAAAAGTAGTTTTCAAAAATAGGGTTTTGTTTTTATTCTTTATTCTAATACTTAATTTTTTTTTTCTTTTTCATGTTTATATATAAAAAATTTATTTCTCACTCTAAAATTTTTTATTTCTAAATTTCTCTCTACAAACTTTATTTTTCTCCCTCTAAAATTTTCATATTTTGAATATTTATTATTATTGTCTCTCCCCAAATGTATTTTTGTTTTTTTTCCTAACAGATCAGTTTCATTTCTCTCTCTAAAAATTTAATATTTTTCCTAACTTTTTTCTCTTTAGAATTTCATCTTTTATAATTTTTCTTTCTTTTCGTAATCTATTTTTTCCTCTGAAAATTATATTTTATTTTCTCGTTCAATTTTCTTTCACTGTAACGTTTATTTATCTTTGTATTTATTTATTTTCTCTAAAAATTATATTTTAAATCTTGTTTTTATGTCTAAATTTGTTTCCACTATAATTTTTCTCTTTCTTTGTAATTTATTTTTTTTCTTTAACATCTCTATTCATCTCGAGTTTACTTTTTTTTCTCTAAAATTTCTCTTTTTATCTTGAACTTTTCTTCCACTATTTTTTTTAAATCCTTTTATTTATCTCTCTAAAATTTATCCTCTAAAAGTTATTTACATCTCTCTAAACTTGTATTTTCATGTCTCTACATTGGGGATGACAAAAATTCCCGTAGGGTCAGGTCAAAAAAATAGGAAATGCATGTCCCGACTCCGTCCCCGTCCTCGGTTCCATTTTTTAAATAATTAGTATATATTTATTACACTTTTGTTATACTTAAATTTTAAAAATAATTAAAAACAATTATAAAACCGATAATTTTTCTCGAAAACATCTCTCGGCCCCAAGAACGAGTTGGAGATAAAGACTAAAAATTTTTACGAGCACGAGAATGGGGGAGAGCATCCTCACTCGCACCCACACCATTGTAGTCTCTACTCTACATAAAATTTTCTCTCTCTAATATGTATTCTCAATTTTCTAACTTTTTAAAAACAAAAAACAAAAAATGGTTATCAAACATGTTTTGGTTTTCTGTTTTTTAAAAACAAAAAACAAAAAATTGTTATCAAACATATATTGTTTTTGTTTTTTAAAAACAGAAAATCAAAAACTAAAAACAAAAAAAAACAAAAACTAAAATGGTTATCAAAGGGCCCTTAAATTTCTTAAGAAAATTGGAAACGAGAAACAAGAAAAACGTTACCAAACGGGCCCAAATTGATTGATTTGATGCATTCGTAAAATAATGATTTAAAATCCAAAATATCAAACAAATAAAAAATATATTTAAAAAAAAAATCATCCCTTCTGGTTTTTTAAGAGGTGAAGAGAACATCCCCTTAATTTTGATTTTTGTCGTTCACAATGATTAAAAAATATATGTGATGCAATTATAGTAATTCATTAATTAATTTTTTTAATTGAATTAACAACTATGAAATGATCATAAAAAATCTAGGGTAAGTAGGTCTTTCTTTATTTATCTTGGGATTGTTCTAACTTATTTTTTTTTATCAAAATTACGGCATAAGTATATATTTATATAAATATCCTTCCTTTTTGTTTTTTCGAATGTCACAAAAATAATTTACAGTTTGTTTCAAGTGATAGGTATAAGTTTTGCAATTTATGCTATTTTTGTAAAATTTTAAACTTAATAGCAATACTATATACATAAATATATATATATATATATTTTTTTATTTTTATTTTAGTAATTTTCTATTTTTTTTATTACAGGTTGCTCTGATCATGCATTTATTTTAAAAGTTAAATTAGTTTATTTTGTTCCATGTACTTCTCAAAATATTTTTGAATTATGGGTCGAATTATGAAATAAATAAACCTACTTTTTTAAATTAATATTTTCTTTTTTCAAAATCCGGCTACAGCTTTCTGTTTTAGAAAAAACAAAATTTGAGAGGAAGTAAATAAGCTAAAAGGGAAAAACAGAATAACTATCATACATACCTGGTAAAATTTTTGTTTTTAGCTTTTTCACGTTGAAAATAAGTTAATTTATCACTTTATTTTCTTTTAATATTTGCGACATTTAAAAAGAATTGAAAATTTCATCAACTGTCATGAAAGGGAAAGGACAGTTTTTCTTAATTACATTTATAATTTAAATTTTTGGTTAAGAACTTGAAGATATTTTGGGAAAAATAATTATGAGTAAATAATGACCTCTATGTGATGGTGATATATAATATGAAATTTAGATTATTTTTCCCAATTATTTACAAATTGAACATTTTTCTTTATAGAGATTGAATATGGCCTATTTTTATCACGGAGGTAACTTGAGATTTTTTATTTCTCGACTTTCTAATGTGTTATTATTCATAAATATGAGATGGTTTCGTCAATTTAAGCATAATTAACTCAATAAAGAAGACGTTTACTACCTTCTTTAAGGTGAAATTGATATATGTACGGTTAAAAAGACTTTCAGTTTGATTGCTTTCCATTTTGATCCTCTAGARTATATTTTAAGTTTGGATACTTTAATCTTTCGATTAGAGTGTTCATTACATGTGATTTTCAATTAGAATTTCGTTACGTTAGGTTCTACGTTTGTTTTTCTTTATCATAGCCTCCACTTAGGATTAGTCAATGCATAAAATTGTGGACTTTGAGGCTATTTAAAATCTTAAGTTATTTCCATGTAATTTCAAGATATAATTTGAATAAAATTGGATTGTTTCCTAAACTTGAGCCATGAGTTTTATCTTGTCATTTGTCATTCTTGATTTAAGGTTGCATACTTGAATTAAACATGCAAGAAGTTGATCAACTTGAAGTTTTTAAAATTTGGGTAAAAAATTATTGGATCATGATCCATCATCTAATCCGAGTTGATTCGTAGAGGTAGAAATTAACTAGTTTTTATCCGCAATCCCATCGATCCCACACCTCACTTTTTTTTGTAAGAGTAAAAACGGATTAACCATTGGGTTGGTGGGGGAAATAATCGACTAAGTTAGAATACTATTTTGTTCTCCGAACTTTCAATCTTGTTTATTTTGGTCCTCGTGCTTTTAAAAAGTGACAATTTTAATTTCTATTTGAAAAATTTTAACACATAGAAACATTTTAATATAAATCATGGTTACATATTAATAAATACATCGAATATAGTGTTTTATTGAAATTGTGATAGAAAAAATGATATTAAAAATAAAGTTAAGAGATGTTGAAGTAATAACTAGATGGACCAGAACGCAATAACTCCTACTATACCCACCTAAATAAACTAAAATTGAAAATAAAAACACAAAGTAGTATTTCTAAGGATGAAATTATTATGAAATTTACCAAATTGGGCTAAACAAAATGGTGAGAAAAAAGGAAATTGAAAATGATATGTGGATTAAATCTCTTAAAAATGTAAAGAAAAAGGGAAAGAAAAGGAGGACATAGTTGTCTTTTGAACGTGCATTGGACATTCCATTCCACAATTTCGATGGATCACAAAGGCTGAAACCGAAGGTGAAGCCAAAGCTTCCATTTTATCTTCCAATTGCTTTCCCAATTCTCCTCTTTCTGCTGTCTTCTTTCTGTGTCTCTGCAAATTCTTGTAACCAAAAAGGTAAATTTTTAAGCCATTCACCGTTTTCTTAGATTCTTTCTATCAGAAGAGAAGAAAAGGGGGCAAAAAACAGCCTTGCAATGGCGACAAATGTTGCTATTTTTGGTAACCCATTTCCAAGAGAATTGCTCCCACGCCGCAATGGTGCCCACTCTCTCTCTAGGGTTTAAGTTTTCCTTTTATGGGGCAGAATTCTCTCTCTCACATCACTATCTCTATCTCTAATTCTTGGAATTCTGTGCGCTGCTTCCTTCGATAAGCTTCGCGGTTTCTGCTAACTCATACCGTTGGCTGCTTTCGTGAGTGATTTGCGGTCGCATCCGTCATCTTTTGAACACTCTGTTATTGTATTAGAGAACCCTTTTCCTGGAATTTTGCTGATTTGGGGATAAGGTGTTTGTGCGGTGGAAGTCTGGTTCCTTCGATTTATGGCCTTTTCTGTCTCTCTTTTTTGTTGTGTTTGGGGGAATCTTTACAAAAGTGTAGTTTTGTAGTTTTGTAATTGTATTGCAGATTTCTTGGTCGGTGCGTGCGGTTAATTTGGGGGGGTGTGAGAAGTTGCAGCAGGGGATATAATAATGGATGGTTTTCTGAACTGTGTAATGGCGGAGAAAGATAGTAAGCTTAGGAGTATTAGTTTCGGGCGCTGTCGCTGGATGGAATTCTAGCATCAATCGCCATTTGATTTAGTTCAATATGGAAAACCCCTTTTCGTCTAAGGAACAAGGGATGGGGTATTGGGGGCCTTCGAGAACTCAGCCCGAAACTCTGGCTTCTTCTGACGCTGGGATGAGGATTATGAGTCCTGAAGATGTGCTTCACGGCTTCTCAGAGCTGATGAATTCTGATTCATACGCAGGATGGGGCAGTAACTATGCAACAATTGATCAGATCTTCACGTCTTGTGGCTTTTCGTCGATCACACCGATGGGTACTAGCACTTCTTTGGAGTGTTCGACTTTCCCAGAAGGGAATTATGGAACATTCCCTCTGAATGAAATTAGTGGAGCTTCCATTTCCATGGTAAACTCTTTCAATTATGGAGACAAGACAATGTTTCAGCGGCCAGATACTGAATTTGGGGTGTCTGATGTTTCGGACAATGCAAATGAAGCAGGTTCGAAATCAAATGATGTCCTCCCAGACATGGATAGTTGTTTGATCTCTAGGCCACTTGGTTGGTCACTTGATGATAGGATGCTCAGGGCACTGTCCTTGTTTAAAGAGTCTTCACCTGGAGGAATTTTGGCTCAAGTCTGGGTGCCTGTGAAGCATGGAAACCAATTCTTCTTGAGCACAAGCGATCAGCCATATCTGCTTGATCAAATGCTCACAGGGTACCGGGAAGTGTCGAGGTCGTTCAAATTCTCTGCAGAAGGAAAACCGGGTTCTTTCCTTGGGCTTCCTGGTCGTGTTTTTATCTCCAAAATTCCGGAATGGACATCAAATGTTAGATATTACAGCGACAATGAGTATCTGCGAATGAAACATGCAATCGGTCATGAGGTATATGGATCGGTTGCCTTACCAATAACGAATAATGAACTTGAAGGGTCATGTTGTGCCGTTCTTGAAGTTGTTACTACAAGGGAGAAGCCCAATTTTGATGCAGAGATCGACATGGTTTCCCGAGCTCTACAGGTTATTTCTCCTTGTGCAGTCGTTTATAATAGTTATAAATTGTCTCATTCCCGTTTCTTTAAAGTTAGCTTCTTGGCAGTTAACACTATAGAGTTGCACCATCTTTCCTGCTAAATTGAATGGAAATGACGGATCTGTTGGTTTCTGTTATCCTATTCGGTTTCTTGTCTCTATCACTACGATAGCAAGAAGTGTTCTTTTTTGTTGTTGTTGTTTTTTTTAATTAATTTTTAAAATTTTCATTGATAAATATCATGTGGAGTAGGTGTGCGTTTTAAGTTTTTATTATCACTAGTTCCTTTTTTTTTTTCTGACAAAATTCCTACTGCTGGTAAAATTTTCTTTTAATACCTTAAATGTTATGCATATTGTGCCAATATGCATAGACATGTTCAGTTCAGATATCTAAGAACTCATTTATAAGAGGATCAAATGGTTCCCAAAAAGTTGTAGATGATCATAAGGAGTAACTAATGCATTCAATATAAACTTACTCTTCTACGGATTTGCTGTGCTAGTGGTATTTTTTTTTTTTTGCGGTCCACTTTCCTGAGTTTTATAAATGACTGCATTATAAGGATCTATTGATCATATTGTTGATGCTTCTTTGGACCATGCTTGTTGCAGACTGTTAGCTTGAGCACTATCGCACCTCCACGACTCTATCCTCAGGTATTATTGGCTGCACTATTATTTGTTGGTTTTTTCTGCAGTTTCCTTTTAGTGATTTGTAATAACTCTTAAGTGAGAACTTTAATTAGGCCAAATATAAAGATTGATTCCTAATGTTTACAAAAATTTTCCTATTTCATCTTAGTTCTTTAAAATTTTTACTTTTAATACTTAATGTATCAATTTGTTTCAATCAAGTCCTTCCATAAAAAAGTATAAATATGCTAACAGAAATATGATGAGGCACTAAGAGATATGAATTTATTTGGACACATGGACATATTGAGCCCCATGGAATACTTAATGACTAAATTCGACTCACGTGGAGTTGAGGGATTGAGAGAACAAAAGAGGGAGTGGGAGAGAGCAAGTGAGTGAGTGAGAGGGATCTGGAGAGTAAGAGAGATTGGATTGAGAGAGTAGAAGGGGAGATGGGAGAAGTGGGTTCATATTGATGGAAAAAGGGAAATAGGTTGGTTGGAGAAACAAGAATAATTAGAAAAAGGAGATTTCTGCCTGTGTTATATTTTTTGAACACTTGGGATAAACTACATGACAATATTAGCCATCTTAATTTTCAATCTTTTTTGAATTCCACATCTTTTCAGCTTTATATATATCAATGAAATATTTGTTACAGTGTTTGAAGAAGAACCAGAGATCTGCATTAGCAGAGATAACAGATGTGCTACGTGCTGTATGTCATGCACATAGTCTGCCTATGGCCCTAACCTGGATTCCTTGCTGTTATACTTTGGAAGCTGTCGATGAGGCTGAAAGGGTTCGTGTGAAGGAGAACAACATTTACCCAAAGGAGAAATCTGTATTATGTATTGAGGAAACGGCATGTTATGTTAATGACAAAGCAACTCAAGGTTTTGTGCATGCATGTGTGGAACATCATCTTGAGGAAGGGCAAGGGATAGCTGGGAAAGCTCTTAAATCCAATCATCCCTTCTTTTATCCTGACGTGAAGACATATGATATTAATGAGTATCCACTGGTCCATCATGCTCGCAAGTTCTGTTTGAATGCTGCGGTTGCAATCAGGTTGAGAAGTACGTACACTGGTAATGATGATTATATACTAGAATTCTTTTTACCTGTCAATATGAAAGGGAGCTCAGAACAGCAACTTTTGTTAAACAATCTCTCTGGTACCATGCAAAGAATGTGTCGGAGTTTGAGGACAGTTTCGAAGGAAGAATTAGTAGGGGCCGAGGAACCTATTACTGGATTTCAGAGTGGATCAATTGGAAAGTCTGCAACTACTTCTAGGAGAAACTCACAACCCACGGTAACAGACAGTGAAACAAGAGTATCTAACTCAATAGATGGTGGAACTGAAGTGGAATGTCCTAAGAAGCAGGTAATTTATTCCTGGGATTCTCTGTATTGTTCTACTGTTACTTTTTTTCTTGCCATTCCTTCCCTTTATTAATCATTTCATTTATCATTTGAATCTTTTATTTTTTTATGATATTGGTCGCCATCTAAATAAGGCATGTGAGTTGGGGATTGTTTTTTTTAATAGCATAAAAATGTCTAAAATATCATCTACCTAATACTGGATCAATTTGCAACAACTAATAGTTTTGGTTTTTCCTAGACCATTTTAAAGAGGAATGCTTGCATTCTTGGATGATTAATTGTGCTTAATGTAGTACGTTGCTGGTGTTAAATAGAAAAGGAAGCACCAGACGTGGACTTTGAGTCTCATTGTATGTTTAATTTGGACCTATCGAGCAACATCTATGTATTTATTGCACTAGTCCTATACAACAGGATGGAGGTGTATGGCATATCTGTTATAGGAATATTATCTGCAGTGTACATCGTTGCATGTCTAGACCATCTATGGCTGCTCAGCCTTCTTTGTGGTTAGGTGCCCCGGGTGGAAGGGGCATCGCATTTTTGTCTGATGAGACAATAATTTGATCACTCAATTTACTAGCTACCAATTGATGGTTTGTTTATTCTTCGATTGTTTCTAGTATAATGTTCCTTGTACTCAATTTAGTATTAAGTACAGGAAGGTGATAAACTGAAAAACCAATGTGCACTTTAAGCTACAAAGTACAGATATTGAGAAGGATAGGGATGTGTAGATGGAAGGAGTGTATCATAGGTTGCCGCATCCCTTTTTTTTTCTTGTTGAGAAGCAGATGGGGCATTGGATTTCAAATTTAACTGGCACATGGTTGTACCTTGTTTTGATTYGATGTGTCGTATGCATTGAGTACTAAATTTGGCTTGTGACCAGTATCTTTTAAATTTATGGGTGAAATTTTCTATTTTTTTCCTTTAATTGTAGGTGCACAATCATCTCCAGGTTATGGATTAGCCTTTTACAGTTTCTTATGCAACTTATCCTACCTTGCAGATAACTAATGGATCACGGAAGCCTGGAGAGAAAAAACGTGCCACAGCTGAGAAAAACGTGAGCTTGAGTGTTCTTCAGCAATACTTTTCTGGGAGTCTCAAGGATGCAGCAAAGAGCATTGGTGGTAAGCCTGCAGACTTATTAGTATTTCAATGATCTTTCATTAAAATAAATGGATAGAAAAATAAGGCCACACAAAACAACCAATGGCCAACAAACGGGAGACAATAGAACTTAAAAATGATCCCAGCTATTGGTCATCTATGGGTATCGGGTAACTTCAGAAAAGTTCTTTGGTACGAAATAGAGATGTAAAAATCCATTAAATCTCAAACTTCCTCTCATGACTTATTTAGACTCAAAACAGTTCTCTTTTTTTTTTTCCCTAACCAAATACTTTATTTATGGAGGGATTGAAAATAATTTCCTCCATCTCATTGAATACTGGGCTATGCCATAAACAACACCACACCTTTGTAGCAAAAGGGCAAAGCCTTAGAGGTGGTTTAGTTTGTTCGAAGTGCACTTGCACTGAATGCACTAGTTGGGGCCAAGGACAAATGTGGATACTCTCTAGATTAAGTGTAAGGTTTTAATCCTCTTAAGGGTAAGAAACTAAGACTCAACAGAACTACACAAGTAGTTATGACTAGGAGAAATTGAGAATCGAAATGACTCTTTGAGTGATAGAGAGGAGGGAAGTCAATTCATTGATCTCCTGTAGTGAAATAATAACCAAAAGAACGAGAAGTTGTGATTGACTGGTATTGTTTTGTTGTGAGATGAAGAAACCTCCCGAAAAACATGTTTTGCAACTATCCCTTGAAAGAAGTTAATAAAAATACAAACAATCGATTGGCAATGGTGGGTCACCTTCCATAGGTTCCTGAAGGTGCTTAAAGATCCCGGACTAGAAACCCATTTATTGGGGCGGATCCCACACCAAATCACATTACCTAATGCCACAAAGTTGGTCTGAGGTTCTACAGAAACCTGCATAACCATTTGGATAGAAGGGTGATGTTTGTACCATCAAGATTCTCCACATTACCACGTTCCTCTTACAATGTTGTCATTGAAACCCAATTAACTAAATGCAATCTTCCTCCGTCTAACCCATTTCATTAATGTCCCATATTAATTCCCAACTTCACCTTAACTGATCCTGACTGTACAAGAAAAGAGAAGTTATACGAAATCCCGCTTGATTCAAATTGATTCAACGTGAGTCTGCCTTGAGAAAATAATCTTTCAGTAAGAGAGCCTTTCTCGAACCTTAATTATAATTGAGTCTGTACAGTATTCATACTCCCTACTTCAAGTTTTATGCCGAGATCGTTCAGGTTTTCTTTGACCTAGAATTTAATTTTTTGGAACTTATATTTTCTACTTTCTAGCCCTCATTTTTAAATGATTAAACATAAGGAAGACTGCAAGTTACAAATATGTATTTTAGTCATTGCTAGTAAAATCCCTGTATTTTCAAGAGTTACAATCTACTCTGGTGCAAGAAGTATGCATTTAACATGTTCTATCATGTATATCTCTATTGATCATTAATGGATTTAACCTTGTTTTTGAGAATAGGTCTGAGGTTGTTATGGTGCCGATGCATTTAATTATTCTATTACGGATCAGCTGTGTGTATACATAAATTAAATAAGTAGTAGGCATTTGCCTTTTTATTTTTTTATTTTTTGTGTGTGTTTGTGTGTGAAAAAGATTGAGGTCATTCATGAATAAAACAAGAGTTAGTGTATTTGAATATGATATGAAAGGTGAGCCATTTCGCCTGGGACTTGTTATGCCGAGTATATCATTGACTGAATATAATACTGTCAAGAACTAGAAAGAGGGAGGGAAGAAAAGAGAATGTGATGGAACTTGAATAATCTATTCAAATGTCAACCCCTACAAAAAAGATTTAAAAGGAGGTTTATATGTGCCCTTAACTAGTGTTTTAATTTATTTTAAGCAAAAACTTATTTCAATATATTCATACTAGAATAGGCTCCATTTTATCACTAACTTCATTTTTGTTTTTGTATTTCGTTTTGGGTGGTGAATTTTCAGTTTGCCCAACAACCTTGAAAAGAATATGCAGGCAGCATGGGATTTTGAGGTGGCCATCCCGAAAAATAAACAAAGTAAATCGTTCGTTAAGGAAAATACAGACAGTTCTCGATTCTGTCAAGGGGGTGGAGGGTGGATTGAAGTTTGATCCAACCACAGGTGGTCTTATGGCAGCCGGCTCTCTTATTCCAGAACTCAATGGACACAATAATCTTCTCTTCTCTGATAATAACCCATCTATAAGAAATCTCGAGCCATTCCTTCAGGATGTAAGTTCTGTACCTTCTGCAACTTTCAGTAGTCAGAATTCCACCATGAAATTGGAAATGGACGAGTCTGCTGTCGCTATATCCCAAAGAATGTCTTCGAGAAATGTTATGGTCCCAGAAGAGGAACCTAATGTTTGTCAGCTTGATTGTAGCGAAGGTTCAAAATCCATTGGGATAGATGCTGCATCATGCCAGCTTGCTGGCTTGGATATGATGACTTGGGATGTCTCAGGGAATGTCCCAGGTTCCATTGTTGCTAAAAAAATTAAGAGATTGGATTTTTCAGAGAATGATTTTAGATCAAGTGGTGCTGACTGTCCATTTTTGGCCAAGAGTTCAAGCTCTTTTGCAGCTGTTGATGAAGTGTGTACCGTGTTGCAAGGGGACGATGGAATCACTGAACATTACCAGCCTGCTACTTCGAGCATGACGGACTCATCGAACGGCTCTGGCTTATTGATGCATGGAAGTTCATCCAGCTGTCAAAGCATCGAGGAGGGGAAGCATTTGCAAGAAAAAATTAGCTCTGTTGACAGTGATTCCAAGATTATTGTAAAAGCTTCATACAAAGAAGACACGGTTCGATTCAAATTTGATCCTTCTTTAGGATATCTCCTGCTCTATGAAGAAGTTGGAAAGAGATTCAAGTTAAACCAGGGGACATTCCAGCTCAAATATCTAGACGATGAAAAAGAATGGGTAATGTTAGTAAGCAATTCAGACTTGCAAGAATGTCTTGAGGTAATGGATGAAATCGGCACCAAAAATGTGAAGTTTCTCGTTCGAGATGTCGCGTGTTCCGTGGGCAGTTCTGGCAGCAATAGTTGCTTCCTGTCTGGAGGTTCATGACAAAGGTTGGATGTCTCAGCCAAAGATAAAAACTCAATCATGTGTCAACAGYATTCTCTTCGACATGTCACTAGAAATGTTACAGCTCGAAGCCAGTACACAATACATCCTTTCCCTTCCACACTTCTTGATCTCTTCTCTGTTTTCAAGCTTCAATTGAAAGCACACCAATATTTGGGTCGGGTTGGATCGAGGTGCAGCTCAACGTCGCGTTGAGTTCGAAGTATGGTTGTGTTATCTTATGCCAGGGGATCAGGAAATGCAGGAAGGGGAAGTAAGTTTACTTTCTATATATGTTGAATAGGTTTGTAAATGATAAATTAGGAGAGTAGTAAGTTGTTTGATTTAGTGGGGAATGAAAGCATATTCTGTTTGAGAATGCCAAGTTCCTATACCCTGTAATCATATTTACATTAGCCAAGAGGTTATAGAAATTACTTTATATTCAATATTATTATTTTCTCGCTGTAATATAAGTTTTAAAGGAAGTCTGTTATTGGTAGCTGTGGGATGATATCTCGGCCAAGAATGTCAATTTTGGAAAACACGTAATATGCAGTGTTGTTAAGACTATCTTTTGAATGTTAGACACTGTGTTTATGTCATATTTCAATTGGAGGGTGAGGATTATATCTTGTAAGCGTAGATTAGTCTTTTACATGTATTTTAGGTCTAAATTTTGTTATGGTTCTTTTCACATTAAGACGGATGCAACGTGTTAAGATTATGTATTTTTGTAGTGCCTGTAGTATTATGTATATTTTTTGCATTGAATATTTCGACATTCAACGTCATCGTCATATGTATTTTGTTGTGTTTGAGCTCCAAATTTGATGATTCAAATGTCGTTGGAATCATTGTTTCGAACTATGGACACTAAAATAGTCAATAAACAAAAATAAGTTTGTTATCATCAAAACATTAATTAATTAATTAAAATTAATTAATTTGAGATTAAGGACCAAAAAGTCAACACTTTAGTTCTATTGTCAATTATTTAATAGATAGATCAGGTGACTTCAAATATTTATATTAACATGGTGATGAAGGCATCTATTGGAGTTGTATAGGTTAGTTAAGACGAGTATAAGCAAGGTGTTATAGAGAACAAAAACGACGCGACGCCCATCACAGTGCCTCCGCACCGACCCCACCTCGGTGCTGGCCTCTCACCTTGGTCCAAAGCCAAGGTGCAATGTGGTTTCCTCCGCTTGGATCCAATGGCCAGAGGTTAAACACCCCTGTTTGGGGTCGAGCCCAACATCAACCCTCTCCTATCGATGGACAATCGTTGAGCCTCGACAATACAAAGTTAGGGCTAGATTAATAGACCTAACCCTAAGGCAATGCAGTCTCCATACTAGAAACTGACTATTTCTCTACTCTCATTGCTGACCTAAGCATCGGAGTCCGTGTGGCAAAGGTCACACCGGTTTAGATCGGATTTGTTTTTGCAGGTGTTCGCTCCCTTAATCATTGCATCAACACAAAGTATATATTATGATCTAAATTAGGCCCGTTCCTTTTTCGCTCATGAGTTACGACATAACTTATGCCTTAAAAAAGGCTTGCCTCTCCTCTAATAATCCATTTTTCCCTTTCTTGTTGGTGTAAAAGTAATCCAAAATAATTAATGGTAATAGAAACTTTCTTTTTCTAGTAACAACAAAATCACATTTGAAATTTAATACCTATCTCAATCCGACTAAAGATTTCAATATATGTCCATATCAGACGTTAGTATATATATATTTGAATTTGTCATTCATCTGCTTAGTACTAACAACCAAAATGATTTTACCTTTTTGTAAGAATGGAAGGACTAAAATAAATATCTTGCAAATTTATAGAGTAAAATGAAATAGGATTAAAAGTTGGTTGGCCAAATAAAGGATAAATTCTATTTTCGTCCTTTTAACTTTTAGGATTACTCCACTTTTAACTTTTGTTCTTAAACATTCAAAATATATATTTTAGCTTCTAAATTTTCAAGTCTATTTGATGTTAAAATTTTAAGATGTCTATTTTAACTCATGGATTTTAAAAAGTAACTATTTTTGTTATCGCTATTATTTTGCTATAATTTATTTAACAGATAGATAATGTGTCTGTGATGGTGTGTATTAATGTGTTGATGTAGATATATGTTTGAACCATATAGATTGATTGATGTGGGGAATGAATATTTGATGTTACGAGACAAAGATTAAAATTGTTATTCAAAGTATATTAACTAAAATATACTTTTTAGAAGTTGAAGGACCAAAATATATATTTAGGATTTTTTTTAATGGCTAGAATGATAAATAAAAGGGAAAAATCACATATTTGGTCATTAAGATTTGAGGTAGGTGTCAATTTAGTTTCGAAGTTTCAAAACAAGCACTCTTGGTCTCCGAAGTTTCAACTAGTGGGTCAAAGCATTCTCGAGGACCATTTAGAACAAATTTTCAAACTTCAAGAACCAAAATTGTATATTTTGAATCTTCAGGGACTAAAAGTATATTTTTCCCTAAATCAAATGTTCATTTGAGTATAGCTTAATAGATAAGACATATTTACCGTTTTAAGATCAAACGTTCGATCTCCCATCTCTACATTTATCGTAATAAAAGAAACAACAAACAAATAAAAATAAATAGAGTTGAACGAACAATCAACAAGAGAATGACAATACTTTTTTTTTAAGTTTGATAATTACAAGAATAGGATATCAGACCATCGATCTTTTAGATGACAATAAATATCTTATTTCACCGAGCTAAATGAGAAGATTGTTTATACAATTCAACGGTTAAAATTTTCAAATTTAGGGAGGAAAACCAATTGCAAAAACAATTCTCAAATATAATTAGGTAGTAGTGGGAAAATGAAAGAGATGATTTTCCGAGATGCCACCACTTGGCTTCTTGGAATTGCTTTGGATGTTGAACGGATCCTTCTTTCTAACTTCCAAAAACTTGGTCAACGCTTGTTGGACAAAAATGTCATTTCACAAGCTTCCTTTTCTTTTTAAATCTATTTAGTGCACGAACGACAATATTTTTAAAGATTTCAAAAGTTTAAGATAAAATTATTGAACGCGTTAGTATTAAATTTACATCGATACGGCTCTTGCTCTGATGTTTGACAGCCGTGTCCCCCCCTATCTAGTAAGGTAAGTGGTCCGGATAAATTGATATTTTTATTGTATTGTAAAAAAAATTCGATGAAATATTAGAAAATATCAATTTTTGATCTTGTGAAATGTTTATTTGTTAATTTAGGGGTAAAATAGAATTTTGGTCATTGAAATTTGGACTTAGTTTCTATTTGGTCCGCGAGTTTAAAACATAATCATTTCTTTGTCCATCATTGAAGTTTTTAAAGTAACATGTTTAATCCATGAAGTTTGAATTTAATTTTTAATTGGTCCCTAAAGTTCGAATTTGGTTTCTAATTGATTCATGAGCTAAGTTGACCGTTAGTTAATCTAACAACGTTCTTCATTCTCTTTTGACTAAATAACAGAGTTTAGTCAATATATGTTAACTGTCATATCATTATTTCGTTAGGTCAATTAATCGTCGACTCAATTTAGAGATAAATTATAAATCAAACTTCAACTAAGGGATTCAATTAGAAACCAAATTCAAACTTCACGAAACAATTCAAACTTTAGGAATCAAATATATCACTTTTGAAACTTAAGAACTAAATCTCAATGACAAAAAATGGTGAATTTTTAAATTGAGAGACCAAATAAAAACTGAAGTGCAAACCTTAAGGACCAAAATGTATTTTACTCTTAATTTTTTTTAATTTGTTACTTTTATAACTTTTCCAAAAATATGTATCGATGTTGATATTGACATCTTATTGATATTTTCACGGACACTTCCATAAAATTAAGAGATCAACCTTTAAAACTACAAAAGTCTCACTATTTTGCTCGTATGTTCTTTTCCTTCCAAAACTTTTTATATTATTTTGTTTATGAATAACAAGATTATTACTTCATTTAAATTAGTTCTTAAATAGCCAAGATTATTACTTCATTTAAATTTGTTATTAAATACCACGTGGCTAGACACTAGATAGACTTGTTAATTAACCTAACTTTTTAGTACAGATTTGAGTCATAGAAATTTGATTATATATTTTTCACAATTTATGAATAGTTGTTTCATAGATATACCATAAGTGTATCTAAGCTTAATTTAAAATTATTTATTATTATTATTATTTTTAACAAATGTGTTCAAGCTTATCAATTGGGAAGTTCGGGCTTGCCTTGACCAAAACAATATTTTTGATCTTCTAGGCTTAAGCCTAAACCGAGCTTGAACTATAATCTTTGGGATCGGGACCATGTTAGCCTAATAATAACGATGAGTTCCAAACCGATCAAAGAATATATATATTTCAAAGACTAAATTATTAATATTTTTTTTTAAAACAATTAAGTATATCTCACATGCTTTGAGGATTGTTCATTGAATGTTTATTTAATCATTCTCCAAAAAAGAGAAAGAAAAAAGAAAAACTCTTTTTGGTGTTTGAGTTTTTTTTCTTTCTTTTTCTTTTTTTTTTTCTTACGAAATTTTATGGCTAAGTTAGGGATATTTTGTTTTGGCTAAATTAAGTTAGTTTGTAAATATATATGTTATTGGCTAATTTCTGGTTGAATTTGGGCAATTTAGGGTAATTTGGGTAATTTTTGTTTTGGTCGATAACTGTTGATGTCGAAATTTGGTCTCCTCAGATATCACCAAATTAGTACCAATCTCCTAGGTTCGGAATGGATCGACGTGACCTGCAAAACAGAATAACACTAGGACCGGTTTTGCTTTGGGCACACRAGCGCTTAAGTTAGTATCGGGGAAGTCGAGTGAGGAGAGTAGGAGGACAGTCGGGGTTTCAGGTGTACCTTTTATTAGGTGTGACTCATTTCCTTATTTATAGTTCTTCCTTCCCTCCTAGGTATCATTATTTGAACTCTAGGTCATTTACATCATTGGGCTTCTTGGGCCGTGAGATACTTCGTTGCGGGCTCTAACATCAAAACAAGGTCGAGGTTCTACAAATACAAGTTGGCCTGGACAGGGACCGAGAGAGAAGTCGAGAGGTGTTCTCGACTAATCGGCGCCGAGGTCGGGTCGGTCATAGAGTGGGCCGGCTCCGGTTGGTAGTAGCTACGGGGTTCTTCCTTCTTCCCGGTTCAATTCTCATTYTTGTTTGGACCGTTTTGCTTCCTATAACAATAACAATTTTATGTTTTCAAAAGTTATGTTTTTTCTCGCTATTTCTTTGGTATGTTTTTTACTTTTTTTTAATAACACATCAAAATTGTTAGTCCAAATTTTTGGAAATCAAAAAATTTTTYGAAAACTAAATTGGTTTAGATTTTGAAAATATTTTTAAAAAGTTAACCACAAGACCATGAAATAGAACTAATCATTGTAACCTTAATTTAAAATACATATATTATTAAAAGACCAAAGGGTGATCAAAGAAGCCAGCTTATTTCGCACATAGGTTTAAGGTTTTTTTTCCTTAGTTATTATTTGGATAAAGAGTTTAGACATTTTTGCAACTTAATTTTATTAGTTGAATTTTGAGTAGTTTGGGCAATTTTTTTTATTTCATTTCAAGGAGATAAGAAGTTCATTAGTTATTCAAAATTTGATAAAATTGAGAATTAAAAATTAGAATTCCACAACTCTTTTTTACCTAAAAAGTTTTATACAATTCTTAAAAATGTATATCTTGTTCTTTGGCCATCTCTTCAAAAACAAGAAAAATAAATCATATTTTACCATTTAGTATCTATCATAAAAATTCAGTAGTTAAGGTAAAGCATCAAACTTGGGAAATCATATAGTTACATGCTAAAGTCGCTAAATTATTATAAATTTTATGTTAAGTTATAAAAAACGTTACGCTCCTGAAAGTTTAGAGTAGGCTTCCATTTCTATAATGCCTCTATATTTCAAAAAATTCATTTCTACCTTCAACCTTTAAAATTATTTGAAAACAACATTCCTGTCAACTTTTATATTAGGAAAAAAAAAAGGAAATGTGATGTGGTAGGTGATATGCCGATGAATTGTAGAAATAGAGGTACGTACACATGGTCATATCATATGTAGTTTCAATCATGTCCTTGATGCTTCAAAAGTTGCATTTCAACCCTTAACCTTTAAAGTAATTTCAAAAAACTATTCTATTGAGTTATCCATTAAAAAGAAGATGAAAATAGTATGATGTTTCATGGAGTTATAAAACAGAAGTTACACGTGGGCACAAATGACAATCGAAGAGTTTAGTCACATTCTAAATGATGCCGAGTAGAGAGGGGAAACAGATTTTGAAATAAGAGTTTTAATCGAAATTGCATTCTATTAGCTTTTTGTGCATAACTTAGGGTGTGTTCAGTCACTTTTGTCATTGTAAAAATCACCCATCTTTCCATTGATCATGTTTGACAAATTAAAAAATTGATTTTAACAATTTTAAAATCACTTTAAATTGATTTTTAAGGTTTCACTTAACCGTAATTTTGAAAAATCAATTATACTTAAATTTTTTTTTTCAAAATTACTCCCCTATCATCACTSCCAGACACACCCTTAATGATTCATGTGGTGTTACACCATGATAATTGGTAACCACAAATCTTGTTTTTGATAGTAACAATGTAAAAGACAAGTAAAGAAATATAAAATAATGCAATATAAGTGACTACACTATTCCTAGTAATAGTTCAAAGTAGAATCGTTCCCCATTTTTCTGTGGGGGTAATTTTGGATTTTGAATTTACTTATTTAGGTCTGTTTGGCAACGTTCGTGTTTGTTGTTTATGTCGTTTTTTATTTTTAATGAAGAAAAATGAATTGTATGGCTCCAACATCCACGAATTCAAGTATGATAAAATAATGTTTTCATTTATATTTTGGAACAAATTAGAAATAGGAACCAGAAATAAAAAACTTGTTTGGGTTGTTTCCAAAATGTATATACAATTGTGAGAAAGTTAAAAAAAAAAAAAAGAGAAACAAGAAAGTTAGTTTCAAAATGCTTAGATTGTTTAAAAAAGTTGGAAACAAGAATCAGGAATATTATCAAAGGAATCCTTAAGAGTAAAAAAGACATAGTGGTATAATTGAAACATATTCCAAAGTTAGAGGAGAATAATTGAAAGCACACTCATATTCTTGTAGGTTCAACTCACCACCACGTTACCTGCCTTGTCATATTTTCATTTTATTTTTAATCGAAAGGTTGACAGAATGATTGTTTATTAACAATTTTAAAGACGAAAGGTATAATTAAAATTTTTAGGTTAAAAAACACATTTGGTCCTGTACTTTTACTAAAATAACAATTTAGTCACTCAACTTTAACTTGTAACGATTTAGTCCATGTACTTTCCCTAAAGTAACAATTTAGTCCCTGAACCTTAAATTGTAACGATTTAGTCTCTATAGTTTAAAATTTGTAACAATTTAGTCCCTATCGTTAAAAATTTTATTAAAATTAAGTGTTAAATTTTGTCATATAACAATTTAATTTTTCTAATTCATAAACATATTTGGTCCCTCCTTAGTTTATAAATCTATACATGCAAGAAACTTAAAAAAAAATTAACGATAAGGATTAAATCTTTACCAACTTTAAATTACATGGACTAAATTATTACATATTAAAGTTCAAGGCTAAATTGTTACCATTTAAGAACTTCGACGCAATTGATCACGGATAAAGAAAAAGTCTGTTTAAATCGTATGCGCTGCCTGCATTCCTTCATAGAATATTGATATTGTGTGACTATCATTTTCTAAATTATACTCAATGTGAGAGTACAGAGATTAGATCGTTACAAACTAAAGTTTAGAGGACTAAATTGTTTTACTTTAGCGAAAGTAGTAATTTCTAAAACCATAGTAGCATAATTGAAATCTACCACCCAAATTACTACTGTTTTATATAATTTAATATAAATTTTAATCTATACGAACTAATTAATTAGTTCTAAATTTGTGTTTCATTTGAATGTTCAATCCTATTGCTACGAAGTTAATTTAAATATAGCTCGATATTTCATCTCCGATAAAAAAGTGGTGAGTTTGAATAAAAAAAATTCATAGAAAACAAAAGATCATGAGGATATTGCAATAAATAGACATTTTCCCAAGAAAGTATTATTTTTTAGTCACTCTTTTCAAAACCTATGTTTTCTTAAATGGTTGTTGACATCAGCCTGTATACCAAATAACTTTACCTACCTCTCTACTATCTGGCTCTCCATCTCTTCTTGCTCTCTCTCCCTCCCTCGGTCTCTCTCTCCTATCTCTCGATCTTTTTTGCTCTCGCTCTCTCTCTTCTCTCTCTTCTCTCGCTCTCTCGCTCTTGCTCTCTCATCTTTATTCAGTGGAGGAACAGTAAAGTCATTTAATATCTAAGTGTCAACAAATACCTAGAAAACTTGTATTTTGAAAAATGGRATTAGAAAACAAAAAAGGCCGTGAAATGCAAGAATATGATATAAAAAATGCCAAATTACGGTGGGACCCTCCAAAAGAGAGGAGAGAGAGAAACAAAGAGAATTGAGAGGATAGGAACGTTTTCTTCATTGGGTTTATAAAAAAATGGAAATGTTGAAATGATAATTGGAATACTTTCCGCGGAGGCTGAAAGGAAACCGACTGGATAGATATGGATCCTTCTTAGCAACAAGATTTCCCCATAATACAGAGAGAGACTTTGATCTCTCCCCAATTCTGATGCACTTTCTCTGCCATTTCCATGGATTCCAACCCTCCTCAACCTCCAGGTTTGTTCAGATTCATCCCTCTCTCCAAACCCCATCTTCTTATGCTCTTCAAAATCTCCATTTTCGTCTCTTAATTCCCTTTCCCCATAACAATTGGGGGTTTTTTGAGGTGGGGTTGTGCCTATCCTTTTCTCTGGTCGAATTCTTGAATTTGTTGTGGATGGAATTTCATGGGCTGCCACTTTGGCGTTTTAATCGCGTACCCTTTTGTTTTCTGGCGACAAAGCCCTAGTTTAGATTGTACTTTCTTTGCTTTCCTTTGTTTTAGGGTTGGATTATCTTGTTGGTAAATGCCCAAGAAGTTGAGTTATGTGACCTCTCTTGTTTCCGGTTTTCGGGTTCAAGAAATTGTCTGATGATGCGATACTTGGAAATTGAGTTGTAATCTCTAAATTATGATCTGAATCAATCATGTTTTCATGCTCAGAGAAGGGGGAAAATTATCTTGCCATTAGTGGAATCTGTTTGTTTCTCTCGCCAGTTAATTTTGTTTTCGCTGGATAATCTTAAAATACCGTTTGATTTAAGCGATCTCTTTATTTGCGTTCGCTGCTTTGTGATGGCGGTATTCTTACTCAGCTTTGGGACTCTAGAAATTTTCTTTTGTTCTCATTGTTGCAGCTACTAATCCTCCACCGAAACCTTGGGAGCGAGTTGGGGGATCATCTGGTCCAGCACCTTTTAGACCTCCATCAGCTGGAAATACAAGTGATGTAGTTGAGGCTTCTGGAACTGCAAAACCTGGAGAAATCGTTTCTGGTTCTGATAGGACTACTGCTGTTAATCGGAATTCGCTCGGTCGGCCTGTTCCATCGAGGCCTTGGGATCAGAACTATGGGAATAACAGCTACGGAGGTTATGATTTAAATTTTATGTTCCCCTTTATGACTGATGTATGTTTTCCCTTGTACTATATGATATTCTTCCTTGGATTGTGAGGTTATTTTTTGTTGTACTCAATGCAGGTTATGGTTCAACTTCAACCATGAACAATTCTCTTTACGGTTCTGGGATGTACGGTTCTTCTTATGGAACCGGAGGAATGTATGGTGGTGGAATGTATGGTAACAGCATGTATAGAGGAGGAGGTTATGGTGGACTTTATGGATCTTCTGGTATGTATGGAAATTCTGGTATGTATGGTGGTGGAATGTATAATAGTGGTTTTGGAGGTCCAATGAATGGTTATGGAATGGGGATGGGTGGTCCTTATGGCGGGCAAGATCCAAATGACCCATACGGTCCTCCCTCATCTCCACCGGGATTTTGGATGTCATTTCTGCGAGTGGTAAGCAATCTACTAACTACTAATCTCTGTTATCGTCACCATTGTTATTATTTGAAATCGATTTTTGTACGTGGCAACACTTTTGCTCCAAGTATGTTCTTAAACCATGCTTTATTCTTTTGAACAATTGATAGTTCGATTCTGGAAGTGTTTACTTTCATCTAATTACTTTTTAAAATTTCTTATTTTCATGACTTTAAGGATGAATTGATGATAATTATGGGTGTTCTCTGCTTTTTCAACTAAGATTATAAATATTTGTAAAAAAGAATTGTTCCCATGTTCTGTAAAAAAGAATATTTGTAAAGTACTCGAGGTTCAACTCCTGAATTCTCTCCTTTTTTCTTCTGTGCAGATGCAGGGTGTCGTAAACTTCTTTGGCCGAATATCTATCCTTATCGACCAAAACACACAGGCCTTCCATATGTTCATGACTGCACTACTTCAGGTGTGCCCTTTGACTTTACCCCCCTTGAATGCCCCCTATAAAAGTTTCATGGATTATACTGACCATCAGCAAGAATGAGTCCTGTTTAAGATCCACTGTTGAAGACTATAAAAACAACGTTAGTGGTTGTAGATGTTTGGGGCCGTTTGGTGAAGTTCATGTTTTCTGTTTTTTGTTTCTTCTTTTTTCTTTTGTACTTAAAAAAGAAACAGAAACGATGTTTGCTAACTTTCTTGTTCTCTACTATTTGAAAAAAAGAAAAGAAAAAAATAAAGTAGAAGTTCTATATGCAAATTAATTTTTCAAATTAAATATTCAAAATTTTTGTGTTATATTTATTTTTTTGATATTTATTATATATTTTATAAGTAAACAATGACGAAATAATGCTTTTATCTATGTCTTTTAGAAAACTAAAAAATAAAAACAGGAACAAGATTTTGTTGTTTTCAAATTTTTACATTGGAAACGTTTTCTTGAAAATAAGAAATGAGAATCAGAAGCAGTTATCACAAACACTTGCGTTCCTCAAAAATTAGAAATGAGAAAATTGGATGCAGGTACTAAACACTTAGGTTGAGAAATGAGAAACAATAAATGAGAACATTACCCAACGGACTCGTAATTTTCAAGGTGTAAACATGAAATACAGGAGTGAAAGTTAATTCTAAATTAGGTATAACTTTGTAAAGGTTTGACAACAGAAGTTATTATCTTGAGCAGTAGATGTTTGTGGTTTGACTTCTTTATTATAGAAACTGACATCTATCCTAGATTTACAATGAATTATTTTTGTGACAGCTTTTTGACCGCTCCGGTATGTTATATGGAGAGCTTGCTAGATTCGTCTTGAGACTGCTTGGGATTAAAACCAAACCTAGGAAGGTTCAACATATAGGCCCTGATGGGCTTCCTCTTCCCGGAGCTCCCCATCCTCATCAAGGTCAGAACTTGATCGAGGGGCCGAAGGCCGCTCCTGAAGGTTCGTGGGATAATGTGTGGACAAACGATCCTCGTTAAGTAAACGAACAAAGTTACTTGATATTGAAAGGTAAAAAAGTTTCATTTCCCCATTCGTCAAGGCAAGGCTATGTAGTTAGTCAATCACAATCTATGCAGCTCGTTGTGTCTGATTACTGCATTACAGGTTATTTTCCAAGAGCAAATGGAAAAATGATGCTGGAAAATTATAATAGAACAGAGAATTGAGATGTGATCCAAGCTTGTATTGGCAGGATGCAGCCACAGAGATTCTCAGGTTAAAACTGTCGGGGCATCGTCATCGGCTTCAATCGTATTCTTTGTGCTGGAATCTGAATAAGTTCACCATAGATATGAATTTAGCTTTCTTTGACCTGAAATATAAGTTGATTTTACTGGTTCTTCTTTGGGTGTCTCGATTTCGGTCTCTTTTTCTTTTCTTTTTCTTTTCCTCGGTGTCTGGTGTTTTATAATTATTGATGGATAAAACAAAGGAAAAAGAGAGGACTTTCAACTGTGCAAATAAAAATTAAAAACTYGTTATCTTTAAAAAAAAAAACTCTCTGAATTTTGCATTTATAATA